CAAAATAATGTTTATAACAATGTATATTGGTACATGAACAGGTTAATATAATCTGGACACTTAAGTAATAAAAGGTCACTTGTGATTTTACTGTAATGGCATAAACATGCCGACATTAGCATATTTGACTTCAAATGGTAATTCGTACATATATTTTTTGGACATAATAGGTATGAGTAACTACCTTACTAAAACGAATAGTTTACTCACCTTGTGACACGTTCGACTCTTTGTAAAATACATCCTGTAGTAAAATATTTTTTGAGGTAAAGCTATTGCTCATATCTCAATATTGCTGAAAAGGTCTGAAAATAAAGCTATTGTTGTAGTTTATGCAGTTTTCACCAAATTCAAGAAGTATGATCCTAATGCAAATTTGCAATACCAAATTAATAAAAAAAAAAGTATAAAGACTGATGTCTGACACGAAAATCTTTATGAACACCTGAAGGATGTTATTTGGTAGATTTATGATACTTTATATTGATTTTAAAATTCCAAGTGGCCAATTCGCCGTTTCAGAATCTAATGCATTCAGGGTAATATTTTCAAAAGTGTACACCAAAACGTTGTGATTGGTTTAAAACGTACTAAACAATGGAAATCCAACCAACAACATAACATTATTTTCATTTTGGTGTACGAAAAATTAGATTACCCATAGTCCATTAGATTCTGAAAAGGCGAATTGGACAAATCATACCTTCTCTTTAAGGTTTCAAGCGACATCCATCATGTCCGTGATTTTATGTTACAATCTTTCTGACTTCTCAAAACAAGTTCATTTTTTCTGTCAGACAACAGTATTTAAATTGTTTTTATTAATTTGGTATTGCAAATTTGCATTAGGATCACACTTCTTGAATTTGGTGAAAACTGCATGAACTACATCAATACCTTCATTTTGAGACCTTTTCAATAATATTAAGATATCTATTCCTCTAGTGCAGCGTACATCGTGTACATTACTTAAGAAATAAATCATGCAAGTCATAGATTGTTGTAAATTTTCACATGGCCTGGGCCGTTATATTCAAATTTTATCCATAGCGTCAGAGAGGGATACAATTGACGATTCGAATATGACGTTCTTCTTTCGCCTTGAAAACAAAGCCATGGTCTAATTCTAATAGAACATGGGCTGCACGTGATTGATGTCACAATTGAAATTGCAACGTCAGTTGTATTTTGAACAATGCTGGAGTTCAAAATGGACATTTTTGTTGATATTTCTCGCAAGGAAATTAAATAAAGTAATTGTAAAAGTAAGTAACGTGTATCTGTTAATTATTTTATCGTGAAAGTGTTGATTTGCTATAACATTTTGGTTTTCATCAAATCAAAATGGCTGCCTTTCGAACGTGTACATGTATTATAGGTCCGCTTCGAAGCACAAAAGTTCTAAATTTTCTTATTGGAATCGACATATTTTCTATCATGCCATGCTCTATGCTCGGTGTAAAGATATTGACAAATATAATGCATTTCCATGTTAAAATGAGCTTAGAGCATGGCATGAAAGAATTATTTCTTAAATATAACGGCCCAGGCCTAGTAAAAATGATAACAAATCTATGGCTTGCATGTATTATTTCGATTCTAATAGGACAAATACGGTGATTAAAAAATATGAAGCGAAGATAAATTTACCCTTTGTGTAAGATAAAGCTACAAATTTTCAATAAATATTTGGCTTGCATCAATTATTTCTTAAATAACCTCTAGAAAAAATTGGTTTATCCTTATAATTCCATTACCATTTTCTACATAAGGAAATGCCTGTACCAAGTCAGGAATATGACAGTTGTTTTCCATTCGTTTGATGTGTTTGAGCTTTTGATTTTGCCATTTGAGAAGGGACTTTCCGTTTTTAATTTTCCTTAGAGTCCGCTATTTCTGTTATTTTACTTTTTTCGACCCAAACATTTTTGTTTCGTTGCCTCCTATTTACCGTCAAATCCAGTGTTGACGCATCGTAACTATAGAGTGAGTCGCAATGTTGACTTGCTGAAATCCATAAATGTGAGAATAATGCAACAGACAAGAAAATTAAACAACATGAACAATACCTGTATCAAAACTCTATTTGAATGAAATATTATCCGAATTCGGAGCGTACTCGTTTCATTCGTATGCAGCCATGTTTTGACAACGTTAATGCGCCAAGAGCTTTCATGGAATTTCGCGGAATTTTAAATTATTTTAATTTTGTGCATTTTTCAAAGCTCTAATCATTAGTTACTTGTATTACGTATTAGAATAAGAATATTGGTTCTGTAATTTCAATTTTAGTACATCAAAGTTGACATTTGTGTTTGCACATAGGTTACAATACATGTGGATTTACAAAAAGCCCTTTGTAATGAGGCTTCTCGAGGTAAAAATCCCTTTTCTCACACACAAGTTCTTTGTATACATTTAATAACTCTACAGTTTTTACACCATTTTACTATGTTCCTCTGTTCCTCATATCAGCACAAATGGTGAAGCTCAGTCACTTGTTAAATTGAAACATGTCCAATATCACTGCACTGAAATTTTTTTTATTTTTGAGTTCCTCGATTTTCGGTGCATGAAGGATATTACCCATGTATAAAGCATTGAAAATATCGATGGAATTAGCTGATTTGTACCTGAAAAACATTCTACAGAAAGAACGATACAATATAAAAAAATAAAACCATGAGCAATTAAATAAAAATGAACTACATGGACCAGAAAGACCTTTTTAATTCTGGCTAGGTCCATTACGGGCACACTTAGTTTTGTACTAATGTGAGGCAGGTCTCATCTAGCCCCTCTTCACAGACAAACAGAAATAAATCATAAATCATACCAAGATCTTTACTTTCAGATATATTGACGATGTCCTGTCACTCAATTACCCATAGTTCAGTGAAAGGCTGCATCTCATATGTTCCTGTAAACTTGATTCTTAGGTTGATACAGATCTTAATCCTTCCCTTTATATTGACACTTATTGACGACTTCAACAAGAATTTATCATGGCAAACATGATGATATTAGCTTTGAAATTGTCAATTTCACATTTCTGCCCTTTGTATGGCGTTTACATATCTCCATTAAAAAGTAACGCTCGTGCATGTCCACAGCAACACCTTTGAGTTATTGGTGAAGTTTGTTGTTTTCTAAGGTATGTTTTGTTATTAATATGGCTGTTTGTCTTATTGTCTTTCTTTTTAATTTTTGACCATGATATTGTCTGTTTTCATTGGACTTATGATTTTTGAATACACACTTGATATCTTACCTCTCTTTTTCGTGGACTTCATAAAACATACATGCGCTCCTGACAAATTAAATCGATTCAAACAGAGTTATGAGAAAAAACGACTTTAAATTGACACTACATACGTTTTACGATCACATTCGCAAATTGAATGACCGATACTTTGTGTCTGTGTCTCAACTCATTTGTGAAATGTGTCAGCGGTCTTAGATCTTTTAAGTCTACAGAAAAAATGTCATCGATTGTGTCCTATTCCTTAGTTTGACATTTTGATTGATTGTGGATTCGAATGGCTAGTGGTGCATGAATAACATAAGATGCTTAACCTGTTGACGCAACCGGTTTCACTCCTTTTGGAGTTCATTCCATGCCTTCCGTTTTTAATTTTACTTTTGCTTTTAAATACATTTAGGAGATTTGAACATCGGTAAACTATTGCATTCCATGCAGAAGGGACACGAAAATCTTCTTATTGTGAAACAAACGTACCCGCAAACAATTGAAAATCTGCATTAGGATAATACTTGGATTTTGTGGGTGCGGAAATTTTAAGAGGTATAATTCCTTTGTAGTATTTTTGCAGATAATGATATTGCATCAAAATTTAACGTCGATATAATGATTATTCAAAATTCGCGGAAAAATCAAAATCGTCATCAAATCGGTTGCGTGAAATTGAAATTGATTGTATTTGCAAATTCAATCTAATTACATATCTAAGTACGTGAGATCTACTGCGGGGGCATACAATTCAAGGGAAATAAAGACTGAATACTTTTCTATCATTGCCGTACGAGGACGTTGCATTAAAAATATACTGCGATTAAATTTAGCGAAAAAAAACACCGGAAATTGAATATCCAGCATTAAAAAAATTAAGTTTTCTATTTTTAACTAAAAAATGAGCACACGGTACCAAATTTTTCTTTTGTAATCGACTATGTACTACTTCAGGAATGTTATATCGAAAATGTAATAAAAAAATCAACGTTAGAATTGTTTTAAATATATATTTCTATTGGCAAGAAAAATGTCTACGAAAACGGTATTTTTTTCCAATAATTGTTGTATTTCTTAAATTATCTTTCACACTTAGGCATCTTATGGACCTTCCTGGGGGCATATACACTATGGAACACTTTGCAAAAGTCCGGGGAAATGTCTCTTTCCCTTTGAAAGTTGTGTTTCTTTTTGGGAAAAGTATTGAAAAATTTAATTGTGAGTAGCATGCAAATTTGAAACTGAAATATGTCAAAAAGTAAGTGATGACGGTATATTTTCTTGAAAATTTCGATAGTTCATATCAAAAATGACTTTGTGTCAAAATTTAAATGACAAATCAATTACAGATCTATTATGTGTCGTATGCCCTTAAGGCATACCCTCCTAATGAACTTATGAGCCTTCATTGTTTCTGTCAAATGCATGAATTTTAATCTTTTCCATTTAACTATATATAACCTTATATAGATTATTCCTCATGTTGGAATAATTGACCGTTTCCTATACATCAAACCCCCTGTCTGCAAAATTTAACCTCAATGCACACTTATGAACATAGGGCTGGAATTTCATACAGTTTAAAAAGGTTCGTTTGCTTTATGGTTTGTGAAACAGAAAAAAGAAGGACTTAGCAAAACAATATGTCTCTTAAACGAAGCGACCTAATTATAAATGAGTATAGTATACACGTACAAGGTTCACACACATACAAATAGCATCATGACATTAGATTCTGTTACATAGAATATAATCAATGTTATTATTGTTTATTGATCATTTTACATGTTTTAGTAGCAAATACATTTTTGTAATTGTGAATTATGAAAACTGATATGTGTAAGAGTAATTGTACATCTATGTATATAAACTGCAGTTCTTGTCTAAATCATCAAAAGCAGATAAATAAGTTCACTAAATACACATTTTACAGTCTTTTTTCTTTTGATTTCTTTTTAAGTCCACATGGTCTTTTAAACATCTGTCCGTTTTCTCGTATCCACTTGTTGCTCACTGAAATATATACAAAAAATATAAGGAGAAGTGTATTTGCACAATCAAAATCCAGCACTAGGAGAATAGTTTCTGCTGATTGTTAGTTCCGTACATGTAGTGTAGCATCAACGCAGTTTTAGTACTGATGGCACTGACATGAACATATAACATATTTCTTTTTTTTTAGGTTGTTAAATTGAGAAAATATCATGAAACTTAGGTTCCAACTCCTTCAGACAAAATTAACCATATATGAATTTGGCTATACTACTTAGGTGCATTTCATCATAAAGTACTTCACGTTTTTATGTATTTATAAAACCTTTGCTTTTAAATGTTTGGGTTGATGTGTTCGGGATGAAGGACTATCTGGAAATTAGCTTCGGACACACTACATTTATCAAGTGTTTTTTTTCGTCTACACTGATTGGATTGTGTGTGTAAAATGGGACTTAGGTGCACATGAATTTGACAGCATTGTACATGTTATAATGACACACATAAGAACTTCTATCTTATATCCCTTTCCTTGTTCAGATATTTTATTTAAAAATATCTTTAAAAAAAGTTTGTTGATTTATTAAACAAGCATATACCATCTTGCGTAGCTATGCATCACCTGTGACAAAAACTCTAAAGGGCATACGATACAGTTACAGAGGAAGTAATGACGTTGCTTACGTAAAATGTTATTTTTCACGACGTTAAACTGTGACATTTTGGGGGAAATCGACTGATTTTAACCAGTAGCTTGCGCAAAGTACATGAAACCCTCATTTTTAAATGGCATTCGGCTTGATTATGTATGAAGATGATTTGTACAAATTGTTATGAAAATTTCACCGATGATTATTTTTAATCAGTCAAATATACAGCAAAAATTGTAGAGTTTTTTTTCAAAAATCATTAAATTTATATAAAAAAAATTAAATATTTCTAAGCAATCGTTGCATACATTTAAAGCATAGTGATGTAAAGACGATATTTAAAATGTTTAACAAAATTCAGCTCGTGGTTATCTTTGAAACACAAAAGTGTTAGGTATGTATGTCCAAAGGATAGAAAGTCCAAGAAACTAACATTTTGAGTAAATGTCTATAATTTCTACCACATCTATCTCAAAAGGAAGCACATGAAGGTATATCTTTATAACACATTTGAATTGACTAGGTGAAAAATAACTTGTATGTAAATCTTCGTAAAACTTCACCGTGGGATCAAAACTGTACCGTAAGCCCTTAACAACAAATAAACAGTATTTTCTAATTGCCTGACTATTAAACTAAAGTTGTAGTATATTTTAGTAGGTTTGATAAAACTCGGTTTCAATACCTACTACTGTCATGTCTACAATCATTCAACTAACTGTGTTTATATCCCATCATATGTTAATTTTTACATTGCTTAATGTTGGAAATTTTATTTTCTAATTGACCTCAAAAAGCACTTCAATTACTTGAATAGCATATTTTAAGAAATTAAATAACTTACAAAAATTGGTAAAAATATTTTGAAAGTACCTGAGTGTATAAATGCAAGAACTTTAAAGACTCATGGGGATTGGTTTACAGTTTTGGCATGGTAAATGCAACACAAGTGCATTAAGATTGATTTTGGAAACATCGATGATATATGAAGAGTTGTTTTCTTTAGCTTTGCAACATTACCAATCGCCCCCGAGTTTTATTGGGGTTCGTGTTGCTCAGTCTTAGATTTACTATTTTGTGTTTCATCTACTGCTGTTTGACTTTTTGTTCCTTTTTTTTTTGTCATGGCGTTGTCAGTTCATTTTCGACTTATGTTTGAATGTCCTTGTGGTATCTTTCGCCTCTCTTTTAATCTAAGAATCAACAAAAGCATTAGGTTTACTATTTCACTTCAAAAACATTTATTAAACTTAATGATCAAATGTTCAACAAATCAAAACACTTTAATATTGTTTATATACATATGAATGCCATGATATGCAATGGTTTCTGGAAGGAAGATAGTTGCATTTTATAAATGGTCTAAATGACTGTTCTTCATTTTGCCAATTGTGTAGGAGCTGTTGCAATGTTAACATTTTATATGCATACTTACCCCATTTAGAACCAACAAGGACAGGACATCCAGCATGCAACATGCGTTGGTCTATCCCTCCATTTAATTCCAAGTTATACCAAAAAGCTGCACTACCCTGAAGAGATTAATATGATTTGATTCAGTAAAAGGAGAGGCTGGAGATACCGAAGTTGAAGACAACATGACAAAGTCGTGTCAAAAACGACAAACCGACGAAAAGATAACATGAAAACTAAATACTGAGCAACGCGATGCCAATCAAAAGCGGGGGATGATCGTATGTGCAACGGTATGGTTGGCAAACCCTTCTCAACATGTGATACCCGTCGTGTTACGTCTATAAAAATAAGTTGATTAGTATATAGAACTAAGTAGGCATCACTAAATCTTGTCTATTCTAAGACATCACCAAATTCGTAAACAATCGGTTATGTAAATATTCTTCAACTGAAACTTGACAGAATTTCAAATTTTGAAACTGACACATGTTTGTAATATCGAAGGATAAACAAAACTGTTACCGGTATAAAACAACTCAGACATTGAAAATTTAAACAGCAAAAAGAACAACACTTAAAACACGTAAACCTCTATTAAAAAGAACTTTAAAAAAAAGTGTTATACACTAATGAACTGATGTGTATACACTGTTTATTTCAATTTTGCATTATAAAAACAAAAAACAACGTGTCATTAGTACTGTCATAATGATTTAACTGCACACAAAAACATATTTGCTCCACCACCTTCAATAGTTTTGTTTACAATTTCGTTCACAATTTTATTGATATAAAGTATTATTTATTCTGAAATACAGGCAACACCATGATCGAAAAAGAAATAATAGTCAAACAATAGAATAGCGCCATTATTTATTATTCAAAAACCTAGGATTCATCTACATGCTTCTCACTTTAACCCTGAATGACTATTTGGAACTTTTTATCTGGTCAAAGAGGGGCGAAAGATACCAAAGGGGCATTCAAACTCGAAATAAACTGACAACGCCATGGCTAGAAAAGAAAAAGACAAACAGACAAACAATAGTACACAAAACACAACATAGAAGACTGAGCAACACGAACCCCACCAAAAACTGGGGGTTATCTCGGGTGCTCCGAAAGGGCTAGCAGATCCTGCTCCACATGTGGCACACGTCGTGTTGCTCATGTTAGTACAAACCCGGTAATAAGTCTAATTATCTGGTCAACATAGGTCAGAATATTTGTCGGCATGCATTTAAGTTACAGATTTGAAAGGTCTTACTGTTTTCACGGAGCAAATTAAAGCATTTAAATAATTATGTTTTGTATTTGTTTATATTTTCTCTGTCTCATAAAAAAAGATTAATTGACTGAAATTGGTTGAGGTCCTATCTATTTGTATTTCAAACTGCAGATAATATACAATAAAAATAGTGAGACTAGAGTGTAAAAAAGTACATTATGTGTAACACAATTTCACCCAAGTTAAAATCATCAATTATGCATTTGATTGTAATCACATTCGGTGGAATACAAAACGTTTTAACTAAAAATAATAAACAATCTTTAATAAAAAAACCACAAAAATTCTGAGGTTTTTCATATAAAACATAAACAAAAATTGATGACAAGATATGTTCAAGAGCAATATAATGAATACTTAACTTATTAATAGCATTGAACCTTACTGCACGTCCGAGAGTTTCATTTTGAATTCAAATTTACGCTAACTTTATTGTTAATGCATACCAAAAGATGCTAACCCTTTTCACACACAAAGCAGATTGGATTACAGGTGCGTATAGTTGCAACATTCTTTAAAGTATGTTTAATTAGCAAGCGATGACACTCTCATGGAACCATGTCATTGTTATCTTTCTGGTTGGTTATTGTTGTTTAGTTATGCTAAAGCAACTAACAACTGGAGATTATTTAAGCTGTTTACACATAATTGAAATGCATTGCAAGTTAGCATTCATGAGCATTACCTTTTGAACAGGTATTCTTGTCTTCAGATTCGGAAATACTGTCGCTCCGCCATACATCACATGCGATAGCTGTCAAGTGCAAAAATAAGGAAATGGTGAATATACGTGTTCATGAAAACATATAATACATAGAATAATACATTAACGACAGTAACTATTATAATTCATTGTTGGTTGCTGTTTTTGTTAATTCTTCGGATACTGAAGCTTCTGTTGAAGGAAAAGAAACAGCACAATGATCGTAAATGATAATTTTAAACATGTTTATTATGAGCTTTTGGCAATTTTACATCATATCTTATAAAATGTGTTCTACGGTCAATTTGTGTATTCTTGTCTTTCATTTTTGCTAATGTGCTTTGTCTATATGCCTTTTTGTTTGTCTTTGTTGCAATATTTGCTTGTTTTGTAGTGATTAAGATTATAACACAATGTTGACTGCTGTATCCCTATTTTTGACATTTTTACCTATTATGTCTGTTTGTTTTGTTCACACATCGTTGTCAATATAATGAAAATTTATGCGACTATCATACATGTGAGAGGTTTACCTAGCTAAACAACCAGGTTTAATCCACCATTTTCTACATAAGAAAATGCATGTACCAAGTCAAGAATATGACAGTTGTTATCCATTCGTTTGATGTGTTTGAGCTTTTGATTTTGCCATTTGCTTAGGGATTTTCCGTTTAGAATTTTCCTCGGAGTTCGGTATTTTTGTTATTTTACTTTTTGTATGACAGTCGCATAGTAGTAAATAACAGTTACTTGATACATTGAAGTGTATGCTTCTGTCTTTGATTCTTATTGACCAATACTGAAAATAGACTCAACAGTATAAATCTAATGCAAGAAGAGTGTCTGGATAGTAAAGAATTTACCGCAGATGATGTGTCTGCATAAAGACTGAACAGGAACCACATGTGTTTGTCTTTTCTGATCGGTTCTAATCAAACCAACCTTTTACGTTCAAAATATATGTATGAACTAGTGTTTGCTTCATTTTATTACTCACATAAAACATCATTGTTGCTATTCTATCTCCAGAGCCTTTGCATTCTCTTGGGAACATGGAAAGTTCCGACTGTAACAAGAGATCAGAACGTTTTTGTGGAGCAGGAACTACTTACCCTTTTGCAGCACCTGAGATTACCCATGGTTTTAGTTGGGTTTGTGTTGCTCATTCTTTAGTTTTGTACTGGTGTTTGTCGTTTGCTTGTGTTTTTTTTTTTGCCATGGCTTGTCAGCTGGTTTTCCACTTATGAGTGTGAATATCCCTTTGTTATCTTTGGCCTCTCTTTTTTGATACATGTTTTGTCTATGAAGATAATAAATCTCAAGGGGCAACACATTATTCGTGTTGTTGAGATTTTTTCTGTTGTATGTAATTTAAGTCAGCATAAAAAAGAGAGACGGAAGATACCAACGGGATACGTCGAGAACAAACTGACAACGCCATAGCAAAAAACGAAAAACGACCAAAACACATTCAAACAACAGAACACAAAACACAAAAAGACAAAGCAATACTAACCCCACCAAAACCATGGTGGAGCTCAGGTGCTCTTGGAACTTTACAACAATACAAAAGATAAATTAAGTATCATGTTCTTGTTTTGTTTTCTACTTCATTTGTTACTTTATTTCATTTGTGCTGGTTTTGCTTTATCAGGTATGATTTTCATTGGATACTTGAAACAAAATATGTAAGACGTTTCCCGTATGCAATTCTAAAACGAACATTAAACCTGATTTGAAACAAGCCACACATAGTAGGCATGTTGCTCCTCATAAAGAATAAAGGATGATCTAATTGTTGAATGCAAAGTTGCATTCATTAACACTATGTGAATACTCAGAGCCACGACATAAATGTTAACATACTTCATTATGTTGGAGAAAACAATTAATGCATAACTATTGATGCATGTGGCCAAAACATTTGGAAATCAAACCCCTAATTCAAACAATAAAAATTGCTAATTCTTTACTTATGGAAACAGTTGATCGGATGTTATGGTTATACAGTCGTACGCATTTAGCTATGGCACTTCTTGGTGAAGAAGTTAAAACAAAAATATTTCACGTTTTTCTTAAATTTATACGATGGTAAATTTCAAATGATTCATATTGAGTTTTTGTCTGTGTAAATCATAAACTCACCAGTGGGTCAACATGTGGTTTATACATTCCTCCCACTCCATAATTTAGAATCTAGAAATAAAATATTTCCCGATTTTATATGTTGCGGTTTAAATAAACATAACTGAGATCAAAACAATTCGTATAACTTGCAGAACATATCTGTAACAAGTGGTTAATGCCAAAATTGCGAAATGTGTGGGTAATTTCTTGTTTCCACTGTCTATACTTTTAAACTAAGTCACCATTGGAGTAGAGTCTTTTTGTTTCTTTCGTTTTCTTATATTAGTAATGAGTAAAACGAATTAGATAAACAACAATTAAACAACAGCAAACAATTATCAAGAGCCTGAGTCGCTCACCTAGGTCTATATGAATCTTCAACAATGTACACTCTCCAACATTGTAAACTAGAATATAATTCATGATTAAAATCTCTTTTTTGTTGATGTTGTAATACCGGTAACAGTTTCTCTCTATCTTCTTTGGTTCCCCAAAACACAAAGAGGGTAAAAAGTCATCATTTAAGGGCAATAAATCCTTGAAGAAAATAACTGACACTTTCATCTATGCTGACCTATTTGCAGATCGAATGACGACGACGACAGACAACGGACACCAACGTGATTGGAAAAGCTCACACTGGCCTTGGCCAGCTGCGTTAGAAACTAATTAAACAATAGACATCATAAGGGCTCATATGGCCTTCGATGATGGACAAGATTTATCACTACTGTAGGCAAGTCCCAAAGGCCTAATTCGACATGATGAAATTAATAGAGTATTTTTTCTTTATAAATGATTGAAGCGAATGACTTAAATATTTCTAGACACGAACACGAATTGCGTACCACAAAATAAATACAGATTTTTGTTTGTTCAAAAGAAATGTTCATGATGTTTTTTATATGTTACAGCATGCCAATAAGGTAAGTTTTGTATAGAATAATTTAAATAAGCTTTTTTAATGAAGCTCTATTATTACTTCATTTACAAGATGAAAAACCATATTTATACAAACCAAATATCACCTGGAATTTAAAATAGAAATAGCAGGAGCAAAAATAAACGGAATAAATGTACTTCTTTTAGAAATAATTTGATGGTCAATTCAGCAGTCTGAAATTACTTTTTTTTAATCAAATAATACCTGATATTCTTCAGTGTTACTATAACGTATTTTGAACTCTGTTTCCAGTCCTGTTATCAGATTTATTCGTAATGACAACTTCTTTAATTCCGGATATTCTATGTCTCTCAACCAAGCACTGTTTACATGAAAAATAGAGGTAAAGGAAAATTAATAAATTTAAATATAGCTGGAATAAATCTTTTTGACTTTATGTAAAAACCAACACGATCCGTAGTACCATGATAACTTTGACACCATTGATATAAATTGAGGCTTTTTTTGGATTATAAATTCATGTTACCACGATAGTCATTTCTATTTCCTGTTTTTGTAACAATGGCATGTCCATCAATTGATTTTTGTTTTCATTTCCTTTGGGGAGGGTTGGTGGTGAGGGTAAAGAAGAGAAAAAAAAATAAAGGGACAGCCAAAGACCATTTTTCAAAAATAAATAGGAAAATGACGAAAAGACAAACTAGAGTCAACAAACCAAAATTTAAATTATAGCTTTTGTCGTAAACTTCAGGTTTCTGACCACTCAATTGGTCAATTCCTAAATTTAAAATGAAAATACAAATTTTCAAATTTTTGAATTAAGTGCATCCGAAGCGATTTCCTGTATTTACATTCATTAGGAACGTTCAATTCAAAACTTTTAGGCATGGATGTATAAATCCGTAACGAGCTAGATGTCAAAATCAAACCTCAGAAGAATAACCATCGAATGCCAACAATTAAGATCAAAAGTTTTGCATTAGAACCAAAAAGGAAATAATCAAAACAACCAAACTTACTGTAGGGAGATTAGTTTCAAATAACTAATTGAAGATTTAGTCGAAGAGTATGATTTTAATTGCGCACATACAAAAGCACTGAATATTGAAAGAAAATGTCTTTTTGCTCAACCTGCGATGGGTATTGCGATATTTACCAAAGTAAAGACAAGGGAACACATTAGACCAAACTAGATAAGGATACATTATGTATAAGGTCCATGTTATAAAACAGCTTTCTTAATAATAATAATAAAAAAAGACAGGATAAGATTTGTAAATATGAATTCAAAGGAATTATAACTGATGTTCGTCTGAATCATATTTTTGAGTCGTTGCACTTACTTTTGATTAAACTATGACATTTTTAACAATTATTTCACACTTGGGAATGCAAAAGTATCCATAATTACACATATGAGAGGAACTGATAGACTTTGTCATGTATAATTATGTATGAGCGCATGCAACAAAAGATGATTCTTAGTTAGTTCCGCTGTACTTTGCTAGACTTTACAACAAAAGCAAAAAGCTACTGTGAACACAGAAGGTAGTCTGTCTAAATATCCTGATCACTGAATGCAAATTACTTTTAATAATTAACTTTTAAAAGTTAATAATTTTATGTTGTATGGTTGCTGTCTATTTCGCATTTACGCACATATAGTTATATTCACAGTGGAAATCGTCGCGTAAAAATGCATTCCTTAAACTACTCACACTGGGTATGCGGAGGGATCCGAATCCGGAGGAGCAACTAATGAAAAGTTTGTAACGGTAGGTAGGTAAAATATCGATCCGATTCCCAGGGAGCATAATTCCTCCGTTGGAACCAGATCCAGATTTTACTAACCCACCGTTTCAACTTTTTCTTTAATTGCACCTCGGAATTCGGAACCCTCCACGGTTTCGGATCGGGATACCCTGTATGCTACTTACGTATGACTTATTCTGTCTTCTGAACCAAACATTCCCTGCTTTGTCGTGGTTGTAGATCGGGATAACTGAAATGATATATAAATTCAACACGTAATAGAAGTCTTACTCTGGAATCAAATTAAACCCTAATATAAGGGTCTGGGTGGGGTTTACAAAGTAGAGAATAATAGATTTAATATGTAGAATAAATGGCAAATTTTGGGACGTATGTACAGACGGACGGATGGACGTACAAGGGTAACACTTAATGCCCCGTCCTTTGCGGTGGGAGCATGAAAAATATGAAATTTTAATATGAATAAAAATAAATGTTTAAAATAAGAAGATGTTGTGTGATTGCCAATAAGACAACTATCTACCTGAGTGAAAATGACATGGATGTAAGCAAGCACTGATTACCACACGACCTTCAACAAGGAGTAAAACGTATAACGTATAGTCGGCCGTAAAAGGCACTGACATGACAAAATGTGAAACGATTTCAAAGGAAAAGACCAACGGGCGCATTTATGACAAAAATGGTACTGACTTGGTACATAAAGAATGTGGCAGGGTTAAATGTGTTTATTAGTTAAGAGTACAAGCAGTTATTCAAAGTATGTTCTGTGTATACATAGACGTACCTTTTTCTCACTTATGTTTCGTAAAAAATCTATTTCGTCGTCAGATATTATATCATGAAATAGAAATATTCGTGGCTGCAAATTAGCTAGCTCTGTTTTTACGAAATAAAACGGATCATCAGTTGCTTTATAATAACAAAACAGTCTTGACAGTTCTTTGGGACTCTAAAATAAAATAATATAAAGTTAAAATTGTAAAAATCTTATTGACAATTTTTTGAATGAAGTACTTTCCTTCAAATATATCAAATATTTTACTAAAAAATAATTGGTTTATTTTGTGCTGAACTATCTCCCGAAAGTTTTCAAGCTGATTTGTTTGAAAATAGCATGCAAATAGTGAGACTGGTATTCAATAAGCGACTCTCCGTTTTGACACATACTATAACACAATATCAGTTTGCAATAAGAAATGTCTTCAGATTCAAAACATGCATATAGCTGAAAACATTTTATTTCGAAAGTATATTACTCTTAAAAAATTCATTAACTATTATTATACAACAATAACAGTTAAAATGATAAATTTCATAAATAGACCATGATACATTATCCTTAAATTTCCGATACATCATGATGATAAGCTATAAATGAAAAAAAGGTGTTATACTTTTGGACTTGTAGCACAGAATGTCTATCAAAAATCCTGTAATGGTGGAAATGTCAAGCATTGTAGGTTCAAGCATACACTGTCCGGTAATCAAAACATACGAACCATAAATCCATATTCAAATGGAACATACTAAGTTGATAAACTAAAACGTCATGTCGACATAATTTAAACGACAATTTGAATGATAGGAGCGTGGTAAAATCGTGTTACCATCCATTATATAGAGAACTGTCTGTCAATCTTTAGTCACTTTGTTTTGCTCTCCTGTCACATTCAGTAGACGTAGGTGTTTGACAGTCATCTAATTTCAAATTGTCGAAATTCAAACAATTTCTCCTTATTTCCTTGCAATAATTCCCAGACTTAGGATAAAAAATCTATCGAAACTGGCAACATCAATGCATATTTTCGACTTTTTTAATAGTTTCTCAGACGGATTACTCGTGCTCAATTTACATATTTGGTAAATTATGGTTTGAAGGTAAATGTGTTGTCTAAGTCAAGTATGTGCAGAGATGTACATTTGTAAGGTTTGAGAAAGTTAAAATCCGAGATTGTAAAACGCTGTCTAAGATTGAGTCTCCGAGTAGTCAGAAATTATATATGCTCTCTATAGAATAAATCTTGTTTACTTGCCGATGAGAAATACATCCTCACACTAGCGCACAGTTTAATGAAAATAACTGAATCAAATGCCGACGGTGTATCGATCTATCGATCAATGCGAGCATTCGATTGCATTTTCATTTCTTTCAATTTTGCTTGTATGTTTTCTCACCTTTAAACTTCCCCTACACAAGTTCTCGTAATCTCTCGTCATATTGTCCTCTGTGTCTGCTTTATCAAAGGCCGTCACATTCTCTAATTTGGATATACTTGCTGCCCTCGTTTTGAAATAGTCAAAATCATTATGTAGTCTTTTATTTCCTGGTTCTGTGATAAGAAAATAATTTAAACAAATTAGATATGGAACTGACCGGTTTACTTTCTATAAAAGAGAGTCGAAAGATATCAAAGGGATATTCAAACTCATAAGTCGAAAATAAACTGACAACGCCATGGCAAAAAAAAACGAAAAGACCGAAAGACAAACAACAGTTTACAAAACACAACATAGAAAAACTAAAGACTGAGCAACAGGATCCCAAATAAAAACCGGGGGTGATCTCAGGTGCTCCTGAAGGGTGTACAGATCCTGCTTCACGTGTGGCATCCGTCGTGTTGCTCATGCAAGTACAAGCCTGATGATAAGTCTAATTCGGTAAGTCACTATAAACTACTATAAACTACTATAAACTAGAACTTTCTCGCTTTCTGATATTCGGGAAAACATTCTGCCAAGTTAATACTTTAATTTGTTAAGTATTTATCATATATTCTTAATGTCTGATGGTAAGTTTTTAAACTTTGTTATAATTCTTAATGTCTGGTGATAAGTTTTTAAACTTTGTTATGCATGCATTGAACGTTTATGACACGGAACATAGCAACAATTTTGTAGTACAGTTTTTCTTTTAATGTTATCAAGTTCTCCCTGATGTTTTTTATATAAATATTTATCTGTAATCAATGAGAATGTAAACCGTCTTCATCTTGGTGTAAATGAGATGTATAAAAATTCAATTTAATCAAAGTATGTGATCAAATATCAAAATAGTATTGTAGTAGTATATGGATGTTATATACTGATTTCTCGTTCTTATTGTAATAACAAATGTTCCACATGAAAAACCTGGAAACAACACGTTATAAAGTTCATGCGTCCGAAGCGCTTTGCCTTCATCAGGAACGCACAAATCCGAATATTTGAGAGCCAAGATTGTATAATAACCTAAACAGTTGAAGAGCTATATGACCAAAAAGGACCTACACAAATAGCCAAATCTATCTAAGGTCAACTTTGCATGAGGAATTTCAAAATTTATTAATGGATATTGAAATGAGCCAAATAGAATACGGACAACTGTATTTCGTCCAAACTTACTTTGGGAACCAACTGTATTGACTTATCTGTAACTGATTATTAACGATATTTTATAGCATGTTGTAGGTATATGTTTTGTTCAGGACTCTATATCACAAAGCTTATTCATCAGAAGAATCTTCTTGACTTCATGCTTACCTGCTTTTGCACACTCTTTTAAAATTTCTACTGATTTTCCAGGCATATCATACTACAAGAAAAAACTTTTTATAATTAACAATGATATTCATACTATACATGTATATCAGAGATCGCCACGGGCTATCTAAAGGTGGTGCTACTCCACCCTTGAAGGTTTAACAACGCGCTTGGATTCCCAGCATCATAAACTGTATATTTTGAGATAATATGAAATAAATTTGGACAAATAATCATAATTCTTAATAAGTATAATTTTGAAAGACTATAATTTAAATGTATTTCGTAATAAAATTATGATACCTACATTGGTGCACACGTATATGCATGTATTTAAGAGTATTGCAAAGGTATTAAACATACAGTAGATATGTGTGGACGATTGAATTGTTTTCGTTTAATGTTTTCTCTGGTGGTCCTTGCATATTATTCCTGATATCTAGAATGTAACAGAAGTATTGTGACACAGAACTGCCTAGTGTAGAGCAACACAAACCAAATAGTTTGAATATTAGGTATTACATAAAAAGGATGTACATTTGTAATTCAAAATGAAAATAAGAATATGCTTCGTTTTTCAGTTCTGTATCAGCACCATTTTCAAAATTAATGTTACCGAACGTGTGATGTTACTTTGACATGTGACTAGGTTAAATCATTTTTTTATGACCGAAATCCCTCCCCTTTGAAACTTAACCAGTAGAACAGCAAAAAGTATATAACAGAAAGAGCAATTAATGAAAATTATGATAATGGTAGGGACCCCTTTTATAGAATATGAGTCTTGTAGAAGTAAATTTGAACTTATACATCGATTTGTTTTTATCTGTAAGACAAAACAAGTCAAACTATGACGTCAGTATTTCGTAGACTATAATACATTTCAAAGTATCCATATTGTTGAAGGACTATCCAATTTTGAAGCGTTAGATCGTTAGAAAATAAAGTGAACGAAAAGACGCCAAACAACTACAATTGTGTTGAAAATAGTCTTTGAGTCCATATAATGACATTGCATGTATGCTTCATTAGAATCAGTAATTTTGATTGGATGACAACAATCGCGAGGCACTCCAATGTCAAATTGTATTTCCGTCTAGAATCTACAGCTATGACTACACGTGCTATATATATCCGTTCCAATGTTAAGCAATGCATAGAATAACAAAACGAAAAGCTTGATATAACTCTTGATTTGATGGTTGTAGCAAAACAATGTTTTATAAGAATTGAAAGCTTCTTGTTATAATGTTATGAGGTTGTAAAAGCGTTGATCGTGCGCACATTTTTAGTATAAAGCGCTTCCGGAAGCTGATAAATAACTTCTTGACGTTTTCAGAAGGACACCAAGACGTAACAGTAAAGTTTAACTTTTAGGGACTTAAACAGAATATATAGCAGTTAACAGATAGAGAAACCAACATGACATGGTCAGCTAAATGTTGTGTTTATTTCTATATATACAAAAGATGAAACTTGAAGTCTGATGTAGCGGAGAGTGACGTAGGGCCTTCAAAGATCGTTCTTTTTGTTCCATATTTTGCGACAGTTCATTACTTATAAAGATATTTTTCTCTCGTATTTACTGTAATATATTATTGATTATGTCAAAGTCATGTGATTTGCTACGGTGGAGTTGACCAGTGCGTCGAAAAAACGTCACTCAGTCATTTTGAAATTCAAATTACAGTAACACATTGCTTATGCTGAGGATGACAAGCATGACACCTTCAAAGCGAGTAAGGATCGAGCAAGAACGTATTGACTTCTATTTCACAATTCCACCAAACAGAAAGTAATACTCTATTACACTCTCATGAAAAAAAAGTTCCACAGCAATATTATTTACCTACGAAAACATGTTAAACCCCACACGCCCCAGCCCATTACTAACATTGCTGAATAATAATCCCCAGTCAGTAAGCTCTGGATAGATTCAAAATCTAAGTTACGGACCATTTGATTTGAGGGGGCAGTCTGAGATATTTTAGAGAAAAAATTCTGACCCTGATTTTTGCCTTAAACAAAAATTCTGGCCGTATCTGGATTGAAAACACAATACCGGTTATCTTGTCCACTTTTTTGCTATTAGAAACAAAAGATTTTCAACAGAATTATTGAGCATTAAATGAACATGATGAATGAAAAACGGGCGTATTTTTTTGGGGGCCGGGGGGTTTGCATGTTGTAAATCCCATATCTGACCGGAATGTCTATTTCTCCGAACTGATATGCTGAATAATTTTTTCAAGGCCCGACTTTAACCTGCCTGCTCGGTGTGGCCTTTATGTCTCCATTTGTCGACCGTCATTCACAACTTCGTTGTCATTTCAGACTCATTCGTAGCCTTTGGTTGATTTGGAACCCTCACTTCCCTTGTTGGGTGAAACATTTCAACCAAACATTTGGATAAAAATTGCTAGTTTGTCTTTGTTCGTGTCTGTCGTATTGTAAATTTCATGGAATGGCCGTATATCTTGTTTTCAACAAGAAATCTGTGAGGTTATGCTAACTAACCTTACAACAAACGAGAATTTACCATGTCCATTTTTTACTGACAAATCCCACATTAAATATATTAGTACATAGCTTTGGATCCATCCAATCATTTAATAATAGACAATTAATAGGGAAAATACGGCATCAAAAATGTCCAACCCTTACACTTTAACTATGAAATATACATGCCCCACGTCAGGAACCGTTAAAAAAGTGCATTTTACACTTATTCTATGTTTTTTAGTCAAAAATAGGTCCAAAAAAATTTTACATACTCCGCCCCCCCTTTCCAAAATCCTGGATCCGCCCCTGGTGTATACATCAAAGACTCCTTGTTAATTCTTGTTATTCGGAACATTAACCTGTGGCTCTTTTAGCTTTGTTATACATGTATATCCAGACACAGACCAAATCGATCATATACCCTATAACAGCTACAGTGTATGCAATATCATAATATATTCGACATAACAATATATGTTACAGTATGCTTACTCTGTTATAAGCCGCAGCAATTATCCTTGATAACGTCGTTGAATTCACGTGACTGTTTGGAAATTTTCCTTTCTTTAATTCATCTAATAAGGTTTCTAAGAATTGGATAGAGTTATACATATTGTTGGTTTCTTCTGCTTTGTTTGCAATGTAAATAACATCAGCTGGAGTAAATGGCGCTGTCTCAAACTAAAAATGAAATGAAGGAATGTATTATATATATAGTATCCTCTCCATATTTAGACCTACTGTATAATAACTGTGTATACGTTTCCCGAATGGTTATTTTCTTAACGCCAACATGTAGTTCGCTTATGGTATGTTTAGTTTTTCATAGTTGGAAATTCAATTATGATGGCAAATAATCTTGTTTTGTATTGATTTTGCAATTTCGACTTCATGAAAAAAGGTGACCATGCATGATGACTTCACAGTTTTGCAGCTCTTATTTTAGAAACGTATTCCTCCGCCATATCTCGTGTGATACAATATTCCACACTCCACAGTTAAACTTTGAAGCCTCCCGTTTTAAAAAAAAATCAGTTTCTGGAATGAAGAAATATCTTATCACCTTAAGCCTTTTGTTATCTGGTTGGTAGACATTCAGAACAAAAACAAGTATACATTTGTTTCGTGCCTCCTGGTAGAAAAAAAATATGGTATGTAGGTAGAATGATTTGATTTTTTTAATATTCTACATAGACAATATAGGGAGATGTTCTGGACTTAACGGTGCATAACCAAAAAGTCCATTAGATGCTTAGGGGTAGGTAGCAAGGCAGGAATAACAACTACATGTATTTTTGTTGGCCTCACCTTATTTCAAAACAATATTAAATTTTGATTTAATATGACTTTTGTAAGTGTATTTCACTGAAAATCATAACAAAATCATTATTATATAATGTTTATAAAACACCTTTTTTGGAAAAAAATTCTTATTTGGGCAGATCTTTAATTTTTTATTTTTTTTTAGCAATCGGTCTTGTTATTCGTTGAAACTTGTTGCACTTGATTTTGGGTTGATACAACTGGTGATTTTGTTCACCATTATCTCATTCAACAAGAAGTCAGTGTTATGCTACTGACCTTGATTTAGCACAACCCAGCAGGCACCCGATGTTGTACAGACGTTGATAGTTGGTTGAAAATAGGTCGCAACGTCGTCGACCTAAATTCAACGTCGGTTCAACGTCGACTGGCAAACGTCTGTCGGACGTTATAGAATGACGTCTATATAACCTTGGTTTTTGGTCGAGACATTATACAACGTCAACACAACGTCGACTCAACGTCGGATTCCAAATGTTGGTCGGACGTCTAAATTAATATAAAACATCAAAATGACACGTACACGGACATATATACTCAGCAGGCACGCAACTTTTTATTTATATTGGTTTACTGATGTTTTCGAATTAATTCAATGCTTACTTTTGCTAATATATATAAATCTTCAAATTGTCATTATAAAAGTGAATGAATCACTTTCAACAATTTTTGCTTTAGTAACATATTTCAATTTCACAAACATATTTGATTTCAATTGGCGCATGCGTATGAGGCCGACATTTCGAGTTTATGTGCGCCAATTTGATGACAACAATTTCTACGACGTTGGATATACATACTTAGTTTATAGTTGCTGTAAAAAGTGCAAAGTAAGTATAATTTTCATTTGTTGTTTGCTTCAATAAAAGATATATGATGACAATTTAATGACTAAAATGATAATTTAGTGTAAACAGTATTGTAGCTGTAATTATTCGCTGTCCCCGCAAGTAAATTAAGTGATTTGTGTAGATTGGTTCTCGGATCAGATATGATTTATAATTATGCACGTAGTCTGTCATATTCCTGCAGATAAGTTGACCTTAGGATATATTTTGACTTATAAATTGAAAAATGGGTAAAAGAACGTACTTATTTTAAAAAATTATGAACGATTGATTAGACGTTGTACAGATATCTGAGGATATTTAAAGAGGTTTAATGTTGGTTGTTATGACGTTGATTAGACGTTGCACAGATATCTGAGGATATTTAAAGAGGTTAAATGGTGGTTTTTAGGACGTTGGTTAGACATTGTACAGATATCTGAGGATATTTAAAGAGGTTTAATGGTGGTTTTTAGGACGTTGATTAAACATTGTACAGATATCTGAGGATATTTAAAGAGGTTTAATGGTGGTTTTTAGGACGTTGATTAGACATTGTACAGATATCTGAGGATATTTATAATAAAGAGGTTTAATGGTGGTTGTTATGACGTTGATTAGACGTTGTACAGACATGTGAGGATATTCAAAGAGGTTTAATCGTGGTTGTTAAAACGTTGATTAGGCGTTGTACAGACGTGGAACATCCTTATTCAGGTTCATCCTGTTGGTTGGTCGGATGTTGTACCAACGTTGTACTGATGTTGTAACTACGTTGTACAGACGTTGAACGGACGTGTGTCAAGACGTTGGGTAGACGTCAGTTTTTGTCGTCTAAAATTTTTTATATACAACCAAAATCTAACGTAGGCGCGACTTTAGGGTCTGACGTCGAACTGATGTTTATACAACGTCAAATGTCTGCTGGAAAAACATCATAGTAGAATCTTATTCATCAATTTTTAAATTCATACAAAAAAACTTTGGTTTCATAAAATTGAGAATGGAAATGGGGAATGTGTCAAAGAGACAACAACCCGACCATAGAACAGACAACAGCAGAAGGTCACCAACAGGTCTTCAATGCAGCGAGAAATTCCCGCACCCGGAGGCGTCCTTCAGCTGGCCCCTAAACAAATATATATACTAGTTCAGTGATAATGAACGCCATACTAAACTCCAAATTGTACACAAGAAACTAAAATTAAAAACAATACAAGACTGACAAAGGCTAGAGGCTCCTGACTTGGGACAGGCGCAAAAATGCGGCGGGGTTAAACATGTTTATGAGATCTCAACCCTCCCCCTATACCTCTAGCCAATGTAGAAATGTCCGTTGGTCAAATTTGATCATCCCTTCGACAATTTTACAGACGCCATCACGAGTTGGTTGACTGTTATGGAATATCTGTTTCACAGATGACGACGGACATGCTCCAATTGTCGTAACCACAATCCCGTCCTCTTTTCCTCGAATATGACTACCAAATTAGCTTTATCACCGGGTTTGTACTTGCATGAGCAACACGATGGGTATCACATGTGGAGCAGGATATGCTACCCCTTCCGGAGCACCTGATATCACCCCTGGATTTTGGTGGGGTTCGTGTTGCTCAGTTTTTGGTTGTCTTTGTTGTGTTTTGTGTACTGTTGTTTGCCTGTTCGTCTTTTTCTTTCAAAGCCATTGTGTTGTCAGTTTATTTTTTACTTATGAGTTGGAATGTCCCTTCGGTATCTTTCGCCTCTCTTTTTTGACCTATGACAGTTTCTGTTGAATTTTGTAGGTCCCACTTGGCTGTCCTTTATTATGCAGTTTCTTCATTATCTGTTTAAACTTAGAGTTTGAGTGTTCATGGTGAACTCAAAATGTGTGACTCAAATTTAAAAGATAAAACGGGAAAACAATTAATGTAGCTTTCAAATGCCTCAGATAGTTACTTTTTTTTACCTCAAATATCTTTCCATGGAGAAATTCGTGTAAATCAAACTGATAAAAATTCAAAAGACGGAATATGGCGGAAACAGCTGCATCTAAGTCACTTTTCTGTGGCCATCCACCAACACGCTTTTCGACTATGCCTCGGGTTAAATTAAAATCTGAAAGAAACAACACAGACATTGAAACTGATCACAAAATACAACAGAGAAAATTAGCTTTAAAAGAAACAAGAGTGCACACGCTGAAATGCCTCGCCTTCTTTACTAACCATTGATATTATGTTGATAGTCCTAAATATAAAGCTTTACTACAACTATCACATAAACTTAACATGATACAAGAAAATGCGGTCAAGGTCAGATAAACCAAACTGGAAATACATGTACACCTTACAATCATTCCATACACCAAATATGCTTTTAATATAGTTGACCTATTGCACATCTAAGATGCAAACTTAACCAGGAAAACTTAGCATTGATCAATAAACCATGAAAATGAGGCCAGAGTCAGATGAACCCTGCCAGATAGACATGTACACCTTACAATTATTACATGTTTTAAATAAAGTTGACCTTCTGCATATAGTATCTAATAAACAAACTAAACAAGGCAAACTTAAGATTGACCAATGATCCATGAAAATGAGGTCATGGTCAGATGATAAATGCCAGACAGACATATAAACTTTACAATCATTCCATACACCAAATATACTTGACCTATTGCTAAAAGTATTAGAAAAACAGACCAAAAAACAAAAACTTAACATTTAGCAAGGAACCGTAAAATTGAGGTCAATGTCAAATAAAACATACCAGACTGACATGTACATCGTAAAATATTTTCATACACCAAATATAGTTGACCTATTGCATACAGTATTAGAAAACAGACCAAAACACAAAAACTTAACTATAACCACTGAACCATGAAAATGAGATCAAGGTCAGATGACACCTACCCGTTGGACATGTACACCTTACAATCATTCCATACACCAAATATAGTTGACCAATTGCATACAGTATTAGAAAAACAGACCAAAACACAAAAACTTAACTATAATCACTGAACCATGAAAATGAGGTCAAGGTCAGATGACACCTCCCAGTTGGACATGTACACCTTACAATCATTCCATACACCCAATATAGTAGACCTATTGCTTATAGTATCTGAGATATGGACTTAACCTTGTTCACTTATCCATGAAATGAGGTCGAAGTCAAGTGAAAACTGTCTGGCAGGCATGATGACCTTGCAAGGTACGCACATACCAAATATAGTTATCATATTACTCATAATAAGAGAGAAATTAAGAATACTAAAACTCTTAACTATTTTTCAAGTAGTCACTGAACCATGAAAATGAGGTCAAGTACAATGGAAATATGACAGACGGAAACTTCATAACATAAGACATCTATATACAAAGTATGAAGGATCCATGTCTTCTACCTTCTGTAATATTAAGCTTTTAAGAAGTGAGCTAACGCCGCCGCCGCCGTCGTCGCCGGACAGCAGTCGCAAGCTCGACAAAAACAACATTAAGCCAAATAAAATAAATGTCAAATAGGAAAGTATACAAAATTTTTCCTTAGTGGAGAGTTGTCTCATTGGGAATTATACCACATCTTCTTATTTTGATAACAATATTATCTATGATGAAAGATTCACTTGGTGTGATTTGTTGACTTTTTTATAATGACTCTGTGAATCAAATACATGAGAGATATGTCTCATCCATTTCTATGTCCAGGATCATATACATTAGAAAGTGGTCACATTTCTCTCCACATGTAGGTCCAGAATAACAATACACGAGAAAGTGGTCGCATTTCTCTCTCCATGTTGATCCAGAATAACAATACCATAGAAAGTGGTCGCATTTCTCTCTACATGTAGAACCAGAATAACAATACCAGAGAAAGTGGTCGCATTTCTCTCTACATGTAGAACCAGAATAACAATACCATAGAAGGTGGTCGTATTTCTCTCCACATGTAGATCCAGAATAACAATACACGAGAATGTGGTCGCATTTCTCTCTACATGTAGATCCAGAATAACAATACACGAGAAAGTGGTCGCATTTCTCTCTACATGTAGAACCAGAATAACAATACCATAGAAAGTGGTCGCATTTCCCTCCACATGTAGATCCAGAATAACAATAAATCAGAAAGTGGTCGCATTTCTCTCTACATGTAGATCCAGAATAACATTACATGAGAAAGTTGTCATAAATCTCTCTATAATCAGAATACCAATACACGAGAAAGTGGTCGCATTTCTCTTTACATGTAGATCCAGAATAACAATAAATCAGAAAGTGGTCGCATTTCTCTCTACATGTAGATCCAGAATAATATTACATGAGAAAGTAGTCATAAATCTCTCTATAATCAAAATACCAATGCAGGAGAAGGTGGTCACATTTATAATTCTAGGTCCAGAATTTGTCTGGCGTATTTGACAAATTGAGTAACCCTTTCCTCGATTTATCTTCTTCATACATTATTTCAGAGACTCATTTTGAACAAAAATGTATACGTACATGATAGAAAACAATATTTCCGAGTCTGTCCATGAGAATCTTCATTTTTTTCAAATTGGCTTTTTAAAATATTTTTTTTTGTTAATACTGTGTTGTTCCGACATTATATGTTAATTTGTATGCCCGATCGAGATCGGACCATTGAAAAATTCCTGGTCACGGAAAATTTTACCATACAACTATTTAGTTTTTTGTTCAACGTTTTTTTTTTGTTGTTGTTTTTTTTTTTTTTTTTTTTTTTTTTTAAATCTGTGCAGAAAAGATAGTGAACTATACTTAATATGTGAATTTACTTAATATGTACCTATTTTTGGTCCATTCATATCACAATCTGGACAAACCACAATATCGAAACATTTCTGCCAGTCTTCAACCCATCTCCTCAGTAGATGGAAAGCATCTATGGGATTATCTATGACTTTTTCACTTACAGTACCTTCAGTAGTTCGTAAAAATCTGGAATAAAAATCAATGAACATCAAAGTGTCCATAATTTACCTAAAGTACTCAGTTCAATTTAAACAATATCAAAATAACAATTGCCTTAGAAACCCTGTGGTTGGATATAGCCAGCATATTTAAAATTAAGCTGGAAACATTAGTTTTTTTTAGGTGTGATCTCAATATCATAGCATTGGACGGACGGACCGACATTCGACCTAGCTTCTGTATGTTTTGCTAGCTGGTCGGCGTGGAGAAGAGGGTCTGTTTTGGCAATAAGTATCTAAAACAAATGCAGGTGGTGTCGCCATAAGGCGTGTATCTCATACATGTAGTAAAAGGTTAGAACGTCCGTTTTGTAAATTTCTTACGGTGGCTTGATAAGATATTTTAAATTGTACATGCATATAACAATGGATATATAATACATTGTGTAGTTAAAATCATTATTTTTCAAAGCAGTAAGATAACGTATCTAGTACACTGTAAACATGGTGTTTAGATCCTAAACACAATTCTAAACACAACTCTTTTGTGCACTTTTTACACGTTTTTTGTCTAAACGTGTCTTAGTTCTAAACATGGTTAGGTTGACAATGTATTTGTAATTGCGTTAAAGATCGTGTTTAGCTTAGAAGTTAGTGTTTTATTCATAAACACGTTAATTCTAAAACACATGTATATAAGTTATTCAAGACATATATCTACATTCAATGTGCTAACTGAGAAATGTGTTTAGATATTAAACACAATACTGAACACGTTTAGAACTAAACATGGAATACACGTGTTTTTTTTCTAAGCGTGATTTTTGCAGTGATTTAGCCAACATATTCTTATCTATAGTATTAATTTGTTCTATGTAGAAATTATCATTTCATGGTATTCTCTATTTAGTTAAATAAACATCGTATGTGAAAGAACTTACTGTCTCAGATAGTCGTCTACGTATTCTTCCTCCTTTTCTTGTGCTACAATGAATCTTCGTAAGGCTGAAACCAGTTTTAATTCGTTCTGAGAAAGTTGTGTCAGTGTTGCTATTGAAGAATAAAAATCCGTAAAAACGTGTCTTATTTCCAAGTTGAACAAAAACAAGAAGAAGACAAAGTTCGTCTTCATTTTATTATATTTCAAAAATACGATTTTTGTCAGTTTTGTTAAAATTACGTTAATCAAAAGATTTCTTTTCACTGCAACGGGATAGAAAGGGACGCGATGTGTAATGAAAAATTAACTATTAAATAATCCAATCGAAATATTAAACCTGCATATACAAAAATTTTTAAAATAACATTCAATAAATTTTAAATGAATGAGATTCAAAAAAAAATATGAAAAACTTTTTAAAACAATTAGTTAAACCCTTTTCGTACCCCTTTATTTACTTTGAGGATCGAACGTGTACGTTAGTTGTAACATGTGTTGTCAAACAAATAATTTAGTATAGGACGAGAAATCTGTATTGTCGAGTTTGTCAGTCGATATTAAAATTATCTGAGATATCACTTATTGCATCAGGTAATCGATTTTGTCTTCTTTTAACACGTCGATAAATGCGTAATCTTAGCTCTATTCAATGTTGCTTTGCGCCCGCTTGATGGCAGGTTTGTGACAGAGCTTAAAAAAAACAGAAACAAGAAAAAAAAATATCAGGAAATCAAATCGAGACAATAAGGACTTATGGGGACATTTGAACAATACAGGAAAATCAATTATATATGATATCCAAAATTTTTATTTGGTTAAAAAATATATATATTTTGTACATAGCTGTAGTTTTCAAGATGTATATATATACAGATATTGAACTCCAACCATGCGTTAATGTCAATGTGTATCTTTCTTCCTAACTGGTTGGTATTCTTTAGACACTAGTAAAATACTAATACTAATACATTGGTATTTCCTTGTGAAGTAAGTGACTAAGTATAAACGAGAAAAAAAATAATAATTTTTTTGTAAAGTAATTATAACGCATCTGTCTTCATTGATGAAATATTTCAAATAAAATCTTTTATTGTCAATAACACTTCCCTTCAACAAGTTTCAAAGGCATTTTATTGTTTTATAATCTTATTGTCATCTTATGTTTTACGAGGATGATTGTGAGTGGATCCTAAGTTAAGCGATCAACATTATTTAACCTGGTGGTTAAGCCATGTTTACTACCAAGAAAACATGCTTCCGCTGTCAAAAATTAAACCCTCTACTTTTCAGTCGTGGGTCATTTGTTGTGCGAAGCGAAATAAGAACTCAGTAGTATGTCACTATGCCAGTATTCTGCTTACTGTGCTAAATCAAATGTATTTGACATGCAGTTTTTACAAATTATTTAAATAACGATCCCATCTTGTGTGACCGTTTCAAAGTACTTATTATTAGTTACATAGTGTGCTAGTGACCTAATACGATATATATGGGGTCAGTAAATTCCATATGGGGTGAGAGTGAAGCTCGAATCCCCCTATGGAATTCACTGACCCCATATATATCGTATTAGGTCACTAGCACACTATGTAACGAATTTATCTTACCGACTATCTTAACATGTGGTATTTAGACTAGTGGCCTATAAAAGTGATTAACTCTTTAATACCGTTAGTATGTAGGAACCTACTTCCATTGGTCTATACAAAAATAAATAAATACGTTGAGATAAGAAGAGGTTTTTTTGTCTCTGAAATAATAATTTAAACGCTTAGAAACAAGAAAAAAGATACATGCTTAAAACGCCTGTGGATTCACTTATGTACGAAAAAGTTGACCAGATAAAACGCTCTAGCGAAGGCAAGATAACATATACACCGAGTTTCAGCTAGACAATATGTAAAGATAAAGGAATTCAGTTACCAGTTACTCGTGTCGAGAGATTGGTCGGTTAATCTATATTGAGTATGCGGCTATATGGGCGGTTGGTCTGTTAATGCCTGTCTTTTTTCGATTTTCAAAATATTCATGCAAGTAAATTCAGCCAAGTTGTCATTTTGTGTACATTTTGTGTGTGTAAAATGTGTATAAATTTATTGATGAGTAACCCGCCTTTTCATTTTATTGATTGTTTATTGAAGCTAGAAAAAAAATAATTACACCACTGGATTCAGTACATTGAATTGTTTTGTCAGACATGAATAAATTTTATGATAAAAAATATATTTAAAAAGTTATACAATGAAACATACTGAACTTGCAAGAATTTTCTCGATAACACCTGATTAACAGACTTTAGCCAACACAATTAACAGACCAACCGCCGATATAGCCGCATACTCAATATAGATTAACCGACCAATCTCTCGGTTAGCCGAGTGACGGCCGTGGTGTCGGTTTGGTTCGGTGAATGAGATGTGTGCTCCTGCAAAGGAAGTTAGAATTTATTTGAAAAATACCTATATGGTCTAAATTCTCATATGGTCCTGCCCGTTAATAACCAAACGAGTATAATACTCACATGGTTCGACCATAAGCGTATGGTGGGACCATATGGGTATACGCATATGGTCATGACCATACGCGTATAGTCACAGGCCAAATACTCATATGGTCCAGAACATATATCATTTACTGAGAAACTTCTACTTGACTTCAATTTTAAAAATTCTGTACATAGGAAAAACAAAGTTCGGTTCCTATTTTTTCTGTATTCCAAGTTAAATTGTTTAGGCCATCTCTCATTTTTTATACTTTCAACATGTTCAAGTTGCACCCCTTTTTCCCCATTCTTTATTATATTTTGGGGGTAGGGGTTATTCTGTATTCTGTAATTAAAGGGGGTATTCTATATTCTGTAAACCCCATCCGTACACAGGCACATGTCTCTGAAAAAAAAATACCTATATTTCGCCAGAGACATATAATACAAATTATATGTCTCTGATTTCACTTAATATAACACTATATAGTAGGCCTACTTAGTCTCCAGTCAAGTTGAAGTTTCTAAATTTCTAAACAAAATTATGTATTATATATATTTCTATATATGATATATATGATTAGAACAATAAAAATACTTTTTGGAAAATGTTAGTGTTTACTTTGGTACGTTGCGTTATTTAATTTACGTAATATTAAACATGGTACTTAGATAAACTTTTAAGACGAATGCTGGTTCCCTGTTTATTTTTTTCTATTCTTAGTTTGAAAACATACAGGTTCCAGTAGACACAGCAATGGCGTTGAGAAAGATCTGCCAGGTTGGGATCGGATCTTCCCGTAATTATTGTACAGCGACTAAGATCGAAGCCAGAAAAGAAGCCTTAGCATCAAGTAGGTACCAAGTAGTAGTACCCGGAAGTCCTAACAAATGAATAAAAGGAAACTAGTGATCTTACTGAGTGATAAATAATAGAACAAACCAAGGTCAAATGGCATGTCCGCATCTTGCATATATATGTTATATAACTTTTGTATGAATTAAAAATTAGTTATACTAAATATAACGATAAAATCAAGTAAAGTCAGTAACCCCAAAAACGGCGTTGTTTAACTTGTTAAAGTTGTTATTTTTAAACTTCAATTGTTTGATTAAAAATAATAATTAATACCTGTGTATTGCTGAAGTATAATTAGAATAAGTGTAAATTTGCTTCATATTAAAGACTACTTAACACTGAAATACAAATGAAGTAATACATGTAGATTTCATATTGTAGCCCATTTTTCCCAAAAACGTTTACCATATTTTAACTTTTTTCATGATGTCATATGTGGGGTCATCCTTCAGACCTTCCACCATTTAATTTTGGTAAACATGGTAAAGTAAATTATATGGTATTTGAAAGAATATTTCAGCAAAAATATTTTTGGGGAGGAGTTGCATCACTGTTACTTTAAAAATAAAAACTCATTAGTTTTGCCAAATCACGGAAAAAATCGGGTTTTAATTGAATTTGAATTCATCCTCATTTATGACGTCACTAAGCCAAGGTTGACAATGTCTTTTCGAGGGGTAACAATCTGCTCTATCACCCTCTCAGATATGTGTTATTTGATTTATTATACTGAATGTTCTGTTATTACTGTCGATTAAATTTCAAATTCAAAGTAATAAACTATGACGTCTTGTACATTACAACCATCCGTATTTAATAAAGCGCACACTTGATCAAGCGTCTCCGTGAAGAGTAATAGAGTATTTGCCATAGGATAGAGTCGTATTTAATAAAGTGCACACTTGATCAAGCGTCTCCGTGAAGGGTAATGGAGTATTTGCCATAGGATAGAGTCGTATTTAAGAAAGTGCACACTTGATCAAGTGTCTCCATGAAGGGTAATAGAGTAAATTAACACCCTCGTATTAGCCAATCAAAATATGGCATTTTAACGTGAAGTATAATAATTTTAGATGATGCATCATTGTGCATGTATACGTATACTGATATCTATATATATATATATTGAGAAATTGTGATGATTTTGATGAAATCAAAATTGTATTAAAACGTTAACATTTAAAAAATATCTTATTTATTGATTAAACCTTTAAAAACATATACCGGTACAAGTAATAAATTTTCAATTATGTTTAGATATCATATTTTGACCATGTTGACCGAAAGATAGATTTAATATAGAAATTATAGAAAACCCGAAAGAGTTGCACGAAAGTCATGTAATGCTAGAATTACGGACTAAAGTAAAACAGTTATGTTGGAAAACAATAATTCCCAAGTACCTGCACACACTAACTGAAATATAACTCCCTGCATGTTTACACACACTAATAGGACGATACTCGTTTTACAAGATGTATCTAGTTTCTCTTTAGATTACAATGCATGCCCTTATGTGCCAGAACTATGGTACACATACAATAACAGAGTCAACCTGTACGGCGAATTCTCAAACTGCAGGAATTTAGTTACATGGTAGGGGATATGCGGTACTATTGATTCTGGATGATCTCATAAGTTCACTTTCAGACACCCTACCACCAAATATATAAGTCCAAAAAATATTGAAGGTATTGAAAGGGCACAACTAATGAAAACTTGAACAATACTGTGCTTTTTATGGTCTGAGAAACAATTTGCTTTGGCTATAGATATAGGCGGGGAAAAACATGTTTGCTGGCGTCATTACGTCTTTTAACCTCCAGAACAATTACTTTTTTCAATGTTTCTTTGATGTCGACATTTTTATCACCCAGATTAATTTGCACATGACCCAGATTACAAAAAATCAAACAAGGCATAAGATCACTCAGTATTTTGTTTTCACTGCATTTATTTGCCAAACAGTTGTAATCAAATTAAACTATCGCACCTAATATTCTGTATATTTTTTTTGTGATTTTTTTTGTTCTCACGTGGCAAGCCGACTTCGTCATGTTCGTATGTACTATAGTAGAAAGACAAAAAAATAAATGAAATAATAAGAATAATTTCAATTTATTTTCCTGAAGATTATTCACAGGAAAGTGATATACTTTGTCGGAAATATGTGCATATGGCTTCATTTTTAGCGTAAATGATTTATAATCTTTTTAACTGGAAAGTTATGTTTTTACATCCTACCAGGATATTTACATGAAAAAAGCATACACTGATTCATTCAAGGTGAAACTCTATCAAAAGTTAACAATCAAGACTATTCTCTTAACATGATAAGCTAACAATGTTTTACCGCCTTACCAACGGAAATCAGCGTTACTAAGAAAGGGGGATCACTGATTTAAAAAATGCCTGTATGTTCGGATAACAGAATTGGTGAAAATCTTTTAAACTGAAAAAATAGGACATAATAGCATGTCTCTTCAACTAATTTTCACAACATTATTGCAGTTAAATTTTTCAAATTTAACATGTGTTTAAGGGCCAGATTATGAGTTAGTGAACCAAATTCTTCATTTGACCTTTCATCAATGTTCATGAAAGTTTGATTTATTTTATGGGGAAATCCAGGTCCGTTCACTTTTTTGGAGTTTTGCAGATTCATTTTATGCTTTCGTAAGGGAAACATATTTTTTTTTTAAATTGGGTTATTGCAGTCATGGTAGTATCTAATTATCAAGTACACAATGAAGGCCATAATTTCAAGTGGAGAGAAATTGTATTCGAAATTCATTGAGATAAGTGTTGGGATATTTCGTAATCTGATCGATGAGCCCATGCTGTGGCCAGTATAAGCATATATGCATCATACATGTATTTATATTATGTAGTGTTTGTAGACATGGCAAATGTTCATATGATTCTAATCTAAAATGAGTTACCTACATCCTTGGTCTATACCAACAGGTAACTGCAGAATACATGACACACCTACAAAAATGTAATTAATAAGTGAAAACAAGTTTAGACTTCCACAAGCCAGTATTAATATGTTTTATGCTAGAGTTACCTCTCTTTATCATGAAACTTAATTTGACTTAATCATGATCATGATGATAATATGTTTTTTTTTAGGTCCACAATGGTTGGTAGGACTCAGTAGATGGGCTTACTACAAATCTTATTTTCCAACATTAGGTAAGAACAATTTGTAGGTGTACATGCATATTTATAAGATGTTTAAACATGATTATTCAATATTGTGGTAGCTGACCCTCAGAATTTTTTTTACAAACATGTTTATTATAATAATAATTAGATAAAAAAAATATTAACAAAAACAAAACTTGTTGAAAGGATCAGAACTAAGACTCAACAAAATTGGTATCAATTGGCTACATTGTCAAAAGAGAATTATTCAAAATTAAGAGCAATTACTGTTTGAATGTGTCTGGCTACAGTGATAATTTTTCTTGTCTACATTATACATATATATTGTCTTGCACATACAACATGTATATGTTATAGGCAGATCACAGTGTAGGTCTGTTACAGCATGTGCTTTAACATCAAACTGAATGAATGAAAAAAATAACTTGTCCAGACAAAATTAACATTTTGGAAACTCTATTATGGTAGAGTTCATATACTTACTAGGGCTGTAACGATACACCTAACTAATGATATGACATTTATTGTGATACTAGGGTGACGATACAATACATTTAGATACAATACATATAATCAATACACAACCTTAAACTAATACAGGTTCTCATAATTCTCCTCGTCTACTCTCAGAATTTATCTGGACAGAAACAGAACCGAAATACATATGAAATGAATCGAAAATTGAACCAATCTAAAATATCGCAGTTCATCTATTCACCACTAATTCTCACATATGTGTATTATGAACTTGTTCCTGTTCAAAAAAATATTGAAATATTATCTGTTTGGTGTTTAATCATGATATAGATTATATAGAGACAGCTATTTTTTCAGGTTTGATGAGAGATGACTGTTTATATGTGGACAAGTATGTGAAAGAAGCTGTGGAGAGACTCCCTAATGATGTAAAAGTAGCCAGGGAATTTCGAATGGGCAGAGCTCTTATTCTCAGTCACAGCAAAGAAATATTACCCAAGGAAGAATGGACAAGCTATGAAGAGGTAAGAGAAATTGTAAAGTAAACACAAGGTCATTCTGTTATAAATCTCTACTTTATAATTATTCTGGTGATTATGGATGACTCACTCTGAAATTATTCTGTTGTATATGGGAAAGAATTGTATAATGCAACAAAAAGTGTGACATTGAAACAAAAAATAAAGACCCTTTTCATTACATAAAACACTTTACTGCTTTGATCTTTTAGCCAGACATTGTATGTAACATTCAGTCAGGACTAATACTTACAGGTACAAGTTAATCATTTTAGTGTAGAGTTATCTCCCTTGATAGTAATTCAGATATTTTTTTATATTTACATGTACATGTATAACATAAAAGCAATGAAAAGTAAATAAAAAGAAATATTTCCCTCTTAAAGTCTTTTTTTATGCCCCCGCCGTAGCGGAGGGGGCATTAAGTTTTACCCTTGTCCGTCTGTACGTACGTACGTACGTACGTACGTCCCGAAATTGGTTTCCGTTCTCTAACTTGAGTTTGCCTCAACCAAATGTTATGAAACTTATACACAATGCTTATTACCACAAAACACAGATCAAGTTTGAATTTTGGTGGCGTCACTTTAACCGATCTAGAGTTATGCCCCTTTATAAAAGGAAATATTGCAAAATTTTTAGTTTCCGTTCTCTAACTTAAGTTTGCCTCAACCAAATGTTATGAAACTTATACGCAATGCTTATTACCACAAAACACAGATCAAGTTTGAATTTTGGTGGTGTCACTTTAACCGATCTAGAGTTATGCCCCTTTATAAAAGGAAAAATTGCAAAATTTTTATTTTCTTCTAAATATCAAGTTTATATAATATATTTTTAAAATTGGAGTTATCTTCCTTTGACCATGATTATAGTTGGATCAACTACAATCAATGCTTTATACAATGCAATGTTTAATTTTGACTTCCACTGATAAAACACAGATCAAGTTGAATTTGGGTAGTGTCACTTTAACCATTATTCAGTTATGCCCCTTTATAAATAGAAAGATTGCAATTTTTTTTAGTTTCCATTCTGTAACTGAAGTTTTCCCCAGCCAAACATTATGAAACCTATACACAATATTCATTACCACAAAACTCAGTAAGGATCAAGTACAATTTTTTGTTTCAGTTCTCTAACTTGAGTTTGCCTCAACCAAATGTTATGAAACTTATACACAATGCTTATTACTACATAATACAGATTAAGTACGAAATTAGGTGGCAACACTTTTACCATTCTAGAGTTATGTCCCTTTATAAACATAAAAATTGCTGAATTTTTTAGTTTGTCTCAACCAAATGTTGTAAAACTTATACACAACTGTTCTAGAGTTATGGGTGTTTACAAATAGAAAAATTGCTGAATTTTTAGTTTCTGTTCTCTATTTAAGTTAGCCTCAACCAAATGTTATGAGACTTACACACAATGCTTATTACCACAAAACTCCGATCAAGTTCAAATTTGGGTAGCGTCACTTTTATCGTTCTTCAGTTAAGTCTCTTTATAACTATATGATATGCAAGCGGGGGCATCATCTGTGTCCACATGTGGACACTATCCACATTTATTATTTTTTTATTTACTACATTTTTCAATTGGAGATTTTTATTGTTTGTCTTTACTAACAACAAAAGTATAATTCTTTGGACAACAAATTTGAAAACCTCATTTGTCTGCTATTTTAAAAATACTGTCTATTTACAAGCCTCCAGAGAGCAATTTTTGAAGACTTCGCACAGTTAAGTTCTAGAGATAAAGGGTTGAACTAAGTGATAAAGAGTTGAACTAAAATTAAAAAGTAGTAAACAAGCCGTCAAAAATATGTTCTTGAATTAGTTAATTTTTGGTGAAGCATAAGACTTTATTAAGGGGAGATTATTCTAACATTGATTTGAAAATTTTAATCTGACAAAATTATTTATGCAAGTAGATATTACATCTTTAAGTGTTTAAAAGACGTTTATATAAGGAATAACCCCAGACTGACAAATTCACATTCATAGATTTAAAAGCCATTTATTTCTATTAAAAATGAAAATTCATCTTTGATTTTTGTCTTCACCATAGAAATCAGGATATATTCAAAAAATGTCACACAACCCCTGAATTTCCAACTAAGAAAAACTATCAAAACTGAACCCAAAAATTTGTTGACACTTATTTGTGATTCTTTTTTAAAATGAATGAATGTAAAACTGACTGATTTATAATTTAAACTAACTTAAAACATTGTAAAATATCAATATTATTTTTTTCATTAAAGTAGCATAGGTCTAGAAATACAACTTATGCATCACAAGGCACAAGCAAAATACTTTACCTTGGAAATATGGCATAAGCTTTTTAAAAAACTCAAGTTCAAAAATCAGTACTGATCAACTCTTTTATGCCACCGCCACGGGGGAGGGGGCATTTAGTTTACCCTTGTCTCTCTGTACGTCCCAAAATTAGTTTCTGTTCTCTTACTTTAGTTTTCCTCAACCAAATGTTATGAAACTTATACAGAATGCTTATTACCACCAAATACAGATCAAGTTGAATATAGGTGGCATCACATTCGCCGTTCTCGAGTTATGTACCTTTATCATGAAATGGAAAAATTGGCAAATTTGCAGTTTCTACGCTCAAATTTTACTCTGCAACAAACAAATGTTCTGAAACATATACACAATGATCATTACCATCATACAGAGATGAAGTTTGAATATTGGTGGTGTCACCTTTGTCGTTCTTGAGATACGTCCCTTTATAAATGAAAAAATTGGCAAATTTGCAGTTTCTGCACTCAAACTTTTCGTTGCCACAACCAAATGTTCTGAAACTTATACACAATGCTTATTACTACCACACACAGACCAAGTTTGAATATGGTAACTTAACTTTTACCATTCTTGTGTCTTTTGGAATCATTGCTTAATTTGTACTTTGACCTATAATGGTTTACTTTTACAAATTGTGACTTGGATGGAGTGTTGTCTCATTGGCACTCATACCACATCTTCTTATATCTATATATTTACAAACAGGGGCATCTGCCTCGTTGACATTCTTTTTTTTATTAATTTAAAAGAGTTATGCCCCTTGGATATACTAATTATACTGATTTATAATTTAAATTTTAGGATGTGGACTATTTATCACCAATAGTTCAACAAGTGAAGGCAGAACATAGACTAAGGAAAATCTTAGATGAAAGACATGGAACAAGAAAAACACAGGGAATATTTGGTACCATTGGACAAGTTTTAGGATTGCAGAAAAACATAAAATGAGGGAAAAACTGTTATAAAATGAAACAATATTTAAGTTAGAAGTTTTTATCTGTGAGTTATTGAAGTTGTAAATAAAAAACGAAAATGATAATAAAGGTTGCTGTTGTTAATTTCAAGATTTCACATACTTAGGAACCTTTGTTTTTTTTAGCCCACCTGGCCGAAGGCCGAGTGGGCTTTTCTCATTACTTGGCATCCATCGTCCTTTAACTTTTACAAAAATCTTCTCCTCTGAAACTACTGGGCCAAATATATAATGTAACCAAACTTGGCCACAATCATTATTAGGGTATCTAGTTTATAAAATGTGTTTGATGACCCTGCCTGTGAACCAACATGGCTAAAAATAGAACATATGGGTAAAATGCAAGTTTTGCCTATTATTTTAAAAACCACTATAAATAGAGAAAATTTGTTAGGGCCAAAAATGTTCAGAATGTTGAGCTCTGCCTATTGTTCACTTATGTCAAAACTGTCAGATGACTTCTTATGGGAGTTAGGGCCCTTAAATGATGAATTCTACCAATTTAAAAAAATTTTCTATTATCTCAAAAATTATAATAGATAGACACTTTATATAGCAAAAATGATCAGCAAGACAAGATCTACAAATAAGTCAACATGGCAGAAATCTTCAGTCGATTCCTTATTAGAGTTATTGCCCTATATTGGCTATAATGACGATTTTTATTGATTTTTTGCATTTTTACCTTATATCTTAAAAACTATAAATAGCAAAAATGACCAGTAAGACAAGATCTACAAATAAATCAACATGACCGAAATTGTTAGTCGACTCCTTTAATATTGAAGTTATTGCCCTTTAATGGCGATTTTTCCCATTTTTCCCTATTATCTTGAAAACTGTAATAGATAGATAGAAACTTTAAATAGCACAAATGATCAGCAAGACAAGATCCACAAATAAGCAATAATGGCAGAAATCTTCAGTCGACTCGTTATTGGAGTCATTGCCCTTTAATGATAATTTTTAACATTTTTATGCATTTTTTGCCTATTATTATACCCCACGCAACGAGTTGCGGAGGGTATAATGTTTGTGACCCGTCTGTCTGTCCGTCCGTCAGTCAGTCCTATTTCTTTTCATCGCAACTCCTCTCAAACCACACAACAGAATTTCACGAAACCTTTTTAGATAATAAGGACATACTATGTAGTTGTGCATATCGACAGGAAATTACGATTCAATTTTTTTTCTAGGAGTTACGCCCCTTTGAACTTATTTACTTTAATGTACTACTGCAACACTGTTTGTCATCTCAACTCCTCTGAAACCACACAACAAAATTTCATGAAACCTTTTCAGATAATAAGGACATACTACGTAGATGTGCATATCGACAGGAAATTACGATTCAATTTTTTTTCAGGAGTTGCGCCCCTTTGAACTTATTTGCCCAATATACTACTGCAACCTTTTGTCATCGCAACTCCTTTAAAACCACACAATAGAATTTCATGAAACCTTTTCAGATAATAAGGACATACTACGTAGATGTGCATATCGACAGGAAATTACGATTCAATTTTTTTTCTAGGAGTTACGCCCCTTTGAACTTATTTGCCTCAATATACTTCTGCAACAGTTTGTCATCACAACTCCTCTGAAACCACACAACAGAATTTCATGAAACTTTGTAGATAATAAGGACATACTAGGTAGATGTGCATATCGACAGGAAATTACGATTCAATTTTTTTTCTAGGAGTTACGCCCCTTTGAACTTATTGGCTTCAATAACCTCTGCAACAGTTTTTCATCACAACTCCTCTGAAACCACACAACAGAATTTCATGAAACTTTGTAGATAATAAGTACATACTAGGTAGATGTGCATATCAACAGGAAATTATGATTCAATTGTTTTTTCTTATACAATTTTTTTTTCTTACAGTTATTTTATTTCTCCAGTGACAATGTGGGGACGTGGGGTATGTGATCGCGCTCACTAAGGTTCTTTAATCTTGAAACTAAATAGATAAATAGAAACTTTAAAGAAGGACAAATTATCAGCAGGATAAGATCTACAACAAATATATATGTCAACATGACTGAAATTGTCAGTTAACTCTTAATAATATCAGCAAGACAAGATCCACAAATAAGCAATAATGGCGGAAATCTTCAGTGGACTCGTTATTGGAGTCATTGCCCTTTAATGATCTTTTTTTAACATTTTTATGCATTTTTTGCCTATTATCTTGAAACTAAATAGATAAATAGAAACTTTAAAGAAGGAAAAATTATCAGCAGGATAAGATCTACAACAAATATATATGTCAACATGACTGAAATTGTCAGTTAACTCTTAATAGAGTTATTTGCTTTAAATGATGGTTTTCCTGGTAAAATTCCTATTTATTTGATGTTTTTTGTCGAGTCTGCGACTTTTGTCGAAAAAGCGAGACTTAGCAATCCTACATTCTGTCATCGGCAGCGTCCACAAATATTCACACTGTGGTTAAAGTTTTTGAAATTTTAATAACTTTCTTAAACTATCCTGAATTTCTACCAAACTGGGACAGAAGCTTGTTTATGATCATAAGATAGTATCCAGAAGTAAGTTTTGTAAAAAAAAAAATCATGTTTTCCGTATTTTACTTATAAATGGACTTGTGTTACACTATTGTTTCAGAAAAAGGGTGAAGGTTTGGTACCATTAAAACGTTTAAACCCACTGCATGTGTTTGCACCTGTCCTAAGTCAGGAATGTGATGTTCAGTAGTTGTCGTTTGTTGATGTGGTTCATAAGTGTTTCTCGTTTCTCGTTTTTTATATAGATTAGACCGTTGGTTTTCCTGTTTGAATGGTTTTACACTAGTAATTTTTGGGGCCCTTTATAGCTTGCTGTTCGGCGTGAGCCAAGGTTCTGTGTTGAAGACCGTCCTTTGACCTATAATGGTTTACTTTTATAAATTTTTATTTGGATGGAGAGTTGTCTCATTGGCACTCATACCACATCTTCTTATATCTATTAGTTTTTCTGCCAGTTAACACTACATTCACTCTGTGGTTAAAGTTTTTTAAAATTTTAATAACTTTCTTAAAACATCCTGGATTTCTACCAAACTTGGACAGAAGCTTGTTTATGATCATAAGATAGTATCCAGAAGAAAATTTGGTAGAAAAAAAAATCCTATTTATTCGTATTTTACTTATAAATGGACTTAGTTTTTCTGCCAGTTAACATTACATTCACTCTGTGGTTAAAGTTTTAGAAATTTTAATAACTTTCTTAAACTATCCTGGATTTGTACCAAACTTGGAGAGAAGCTTGTTTATGATCAAAAGCTAGTATCTAGAAGGAAACTTTGTAAAAATATATTTCCTTTTTTTCCATATATAACTTATAAATGGACTTAGTTTTTTCTTCCAGTTAACATTACATACAGTCTGTAATCAAAGTTTTTATACGACCGCAAAAAAATTTTGTGGTCGTATATTTGTATGACATTGGCGTCGTCGTCGTCGTTCGCACTCAAACTGAAGTTTAAATGAATGGATCTCTATGAAATTTTACCATAAGGTTCAATACCACAAAAGGAAGGTTGGGATTGATTTTGGGGGTTATGGTATCAACAGTTCAGGAATTGGGGGCCAAAAATAAGCATTTTTGTAACTTCCAGACATAACTTGTGTGTTAGTTTATGGATCTCTCTGACATTGTACCACAAGGTTCCATATTACAAAGGGAATGCTTGGATTGATTTTCATCAAAAATTGAATTATTGGGGTTCTTTGATATGCCAAATCTAACTGTGTTTTTAGATTTTTAATTTTGGGTCCCGTTTTTTAAATTGGTCTACATTAAGGTCCAAAGGGTCCAAAATTAAACTTAGTTTGATTTTAACAAAAATTGAATTCTTGGGGTTCTTTGATATGCTGAATCTAAACATGTATTTAGATTTTTGATTATGGGCCCAGTTTTCAAGTTGGGGTCCAAAATTAAACTTTTTTTTATTTCAACAAAAATTGAATATATGGGGTTCTTTGATATGCTGAATCTAACCATGTATTTAGATTTTTTATTTGTGGGCCCGCTATCAAATTGGTTCATATTGAGGTCAAAAGGGTCCAAAATTAAACTTTGTTTGATATCATTAAAAATTGCTGAATCTAACCATGTATTTTGATTTTGGACATTGGACCATAATAGGTAAATTGAAAAGATTCAAGTTCTTAGACCACATTCTTTCTGTGTCAGAAACCTATGCTGTGTCAAATATTTAATCACAATCCAAATTCAGAGCTGTATCAAGCTTGAATGTTGTGTCCATACTTGCCCCAACTGTTCAGGGTTCGACCTCTGCGGTCGTATCAAGCTGCGCCCAGCAAAGCATTTTATTTGCATTTTTACCTAATATCTTAAAAACTATAAATAGCAAAAATGACCAGTAAGACAAGATCTACAAATAAATCAACATGACCGAAATTGTTAGTCGACTCCTTTAATATTGAAGTTATTGCCCTTTAATGGCGATTTTCCCCATTTTCCCTATTATCTTGAAAACTGTAATAGATAGATAGAAACTTTAAATAGCACAAATGATCAGCAAGACAAGATCCACAAATAAGCAATAATGGCGGAAATCTTCAGTCGACTCGTTATTGGAGTCATTGCCCTTTAATGATCATTTTTAACATTTTTGTGCATTTTTTGCCTATTACATGTATCTTGAAACTAAATAGATAAATAGAAACTTTAAAGAAGGAAAAATTTTCGGCAGGATAAGATCTACAAATATGTCAACATGACTGAAATTGTCAGTTAACTCTTTATAGAGTTATTCAGGTTTTCCTGGTAAAATTCCTATTTATTTGATGCTTTTTGTCGAGTCTGCAACTTTTGTCGCAAAAGCGAGACATAGCGATCCTACATTCTGTCGTCGGCAGCGTCCGCAAATATTCACACTGTGGTTAAAGTTTTTGAAATTTTAATAACTTTCTTAAACTATCCTGAATTTCTATCAAACTGGGACAGAAGCTTGTTTATGATCATAAGATAGTATCCAGAAGTAAATTTTGTAAAAAAAAAAATCATGTTTTCCGTATTTTACTTATATAGGACTTATG